GATTTCAGAGAGGCCAACCCACTCATTCATGTACTGAACTATTGACCCTTCCATTCAAAGAAAAATAAAACTTTTAATCCATATTCTACCCTCAGTAACTAGATGAACCACAATTAAAGCAACTCTAAACACAGCTCTAGAAACAGAAAACAGTCATTAAGAGTGGCAGGTTTTTGGTGTCCTCTCCCACCTCCACTCCCACCCCAGCCACAGGGTATGAACACGTTAATTTAACCGAATGAGCATGTTCCTGTCTGCAAACACCCCTGTAGCTTCCTCTGGGTAAGGAAGCTCTTTATCAGCGTCTGGACTAACAGAACTATAAATCAGCCACAAACACAACCTTCCTGCTGCTGCTAGTCCAGTTTCGCCTCACTATTCATCCTGCTTCATAAGAACAAGGTGCTCCCTGGGCATGAGAAAACAAAAATCCATCTTACAGTCTAGGCAGGAGTAAAGCAGGGAATACAAACTTGCCCCACTTCAAAGCACAAGGCGTATCTTTCACTAACTAAATAGCAATCCCAGCAGAAGTGACAATGAAAGCTTTCTTCCCTATTATTGTTTGAAACAATCACAAGCTATTTGTTCATATTAATTAGTTTATATCTAGTATTAGGCAGCCTTGATAAGAAAGACACTCTTTGTTACCAGATGAATAGAGTAACAAACAAAACCAAAAGCTTTTTTTTTAATTGTTGTTTTTGCCTTAGCAAAGAATTTCTGCCTTAGAAAAGAATTGTCAGGACTTTCACACTTGAATGTGGGCTTATCTGTACATAGGTCCCTGAATTCACTCTAAAAGAATGCAAGTTGATGTGCCAGACAATACCAGGCTAAGCTGATTGAGTGAACTGCTTGTTTCGCCTTGCCTAAGGAGAAGCTCTATTTAAATTACTTTTACCTTCTCTGAACCTGGGGAAAACTTGATGATAGGAGAGAAACCATCAATTCAGCCTTAGGGGCAAGGATGAGTCAGTCTTGGACTAAAACTTGACTGCACAAATTACATGTGAGATTTGACATATAATCAGGAGGCCCATCATCAACCAGAGGATCCTGGAAATCAAGTGACTCAATGGTCCGCATCTCCCCAGACAAGTAAGCTACCTCTCCCTGTGACCTAATACCCCAGTTTACAGCTGACTCCTTCCAAGTGGGCTTGAGTTCCCCCAACTATCAGAGGCTACTACTGTTTCCCACATATGGGAAGAATAATGGGGCACACTATCCTGGCTGAGATTAATTAATGAGCTTGTTCAACAAAATTGTCAAAAGTCACCCTGGCCAGGGTGGCTCAGTTGGTTGGAGCGTCATCCTGTAGATTGAAAGGTGGCTGGTTTAATTCCTGATCAAGACACATACCCAGGTTGTGGACTTGATCTCTGGTCTGGGCGCGTGCGAGAGGCAACCGATGGGTGTTTCTCTCACATTCATCACATTGATGTCTGTCTGTCTGTGTCTCTCCCCCACCCCACCATCTCTCTCTCTCTCTCTCTCTTTCTCATCTGTATCTCTACAAAGCAATGAAATTGCTTTTTCAGTGAGGGGCCTCTGTGGGAGTAAAAAACTTTTTTTTCTTTAGTTGTCAAAAGTCAGGGTTTGAACTCAGGTCTAAGACACAAAAGCTACATGGGCTTCTCCAAGATTAATGTTAAATTTCTTCATAAGGTTTGCAAGGCCCTTTGAAATCTTCTCCAACCTTGTAACCTAACCCACCTGCCTCCTCTACAACCAGAAGTATGCTGATAAATACATAACAATAGGCTCTTAGGAGTAAAGGACTGTGTTTGCCAATTTCCATGATGTAAATACTCCACCCTGGCTGATTTCAAGATGCAAGCATGAAGTCAATGGGCTTGCTGAATTCCTGAAAACTTAAGAATCAGATTTGTCAGCTGGCAGACCTGGCTCTAGCCCTTCACTTACAACTTCAGGCATCACTGTACTGCAACTATCCCAAACTAATATGCGAATGCTGTGCCCTCTCTCATCTTGGGATGTTTGACATTCACACATGCTCCTTCCTCTTCCTTACCAGAATCACTCATACTCGTTTGTAACTTCTGGCCTGGAGGTCTTCCTGCAGGAGGCCTCCCCTGATCCCGCAAGTCTTTCCAGGGTTCTCCGCGTTACTCCTAGAGCTCCCAGACTTCCCGTGTCACAGCATTGCAATTTTTGGTTTCCTTATCTTCCTATTTCCCACTGCATTTCTAAACTCAGGCAGGGCAAAAGCCTTGTTTACCTTCTTTTTTTTCTTGTATCTCCAGGTCTGCCACAGCGCTTACTAAATAACAACGCTTAGATGTATTAAGAATATGTACCAGAAACTGTTCTAAGTTGTACACACATTATCTAACTTCATCCTTTAAACAACCCTATGAAGTTGTCTTTATTATTATGATGACGCTCATTTTCCAGAAATGGAGGCACCAAGGGGAAGAAACCTTTCTTCCTCAGGCCCCGCTCCCATGTGCTCGGTTAATAAATGCCGGGGCCCAGACCTGAGCTCAGGCAGGGTGAGCAGGGGGCCTCGAGCAGCCTCTCCAACCAGTATTTTGTGACCTTTTCCCCCATTGGCAACTCTCAAGGAGAAAGTTTTAATTAAATTTAAATTCCCCCTATGAGAGAAATTAAATTAAAAAAATAAGATTTCTTCAGGTACGGTTAAGCTTTGGAGGGATTTTCCCTCTCCCAAGATACAATTTTTGCCCTCTTGGGGACAATAATATTCCCTTCTACAATGTATGTTCTCCTAGACCTTTCTCTATGCATTTATATTAATGCACCATATGTTTATCCCTAAAAACATATGGTCTTATTTTACAGTTTTAATGATATCTTCCTGTAAGAATTATTCTGCATCTTGCTTTCTTTTCCCTCTATCAGATATCTTGCAGAGATATAGCTGTGCTGAGATATACAGAGATGGGAAACAGTAGGTTTATAGTTGTTCGTATGAAAAATAATACAATAAATAATAATACAAGAATAAACTCTGTGTTTTGCATACTCACAGCTATAAACCTACTTTTGCCCTTCCTGTATATTTATCATTTTTTAACTGCTGCATAGTATTTAAATCATATCAATATGCCTAAATTTATTAAGTCCTTCCACTGTTATATATTCAGAAAGTTTTTTTTGTTTCTCCACCTTCAACCAAGGCTTCAATGATTCTCTGTATGCACATCTCCTTGGGTTCACGTATGAGAGTCTTTCTAAGGCAGGTAATGAGATGGGAATAAGGTATGTCCAAAGGTATTTAATTTTAATAGATACAGTCAAATTAGCCTCCAGAGTGACTATACCAATTTATTTTCCCACAGAGAATTTACAAAAATACACGTTTCCCCAAGCGTTTATATTAAATAGGACCTGTTTCTACCTTGGGTGGTGTTAAACATTTTAGTTAAATGAGTCATTTAAAAATATATTACTCACCAGCTGACAGGAGCTTGTGTAAAAGGGAAGATGTGTAGATAAAATGATGGTGTTGGAAATGCTGACAAAAGACAACAGCAAGGCTGTGATGCTGAAGTGCCTTGTCCAGCAAACCTGTAGAGGGCCTAACTTCACAAAAGGCTAAAAATAGTCCTTGCACAAGAACAGCTGCAGAGCACTTTGAAATGGTGACCTCAGGCAGCAGGCACTAAATCTTTTTACCCATTCACCAAGTCACTTAGGCACCAAAACCACTACTGCAGGGAATGGAAACCAAACACCCAAAGTAAATGAAGTGTTGCAAAGACAATGATCCATTTACCAGAAAGAGAAATACACATAATGGAGGTAACACTAAGCACCCTGGAAAATAATACTAAAAGCTTTAGAATGTGGAAGAACAGCAAGGAATTTATAAGATAAAATTCCAAGGTCTCTTAGAGGATTTTTAAAAAAACATAATAAATAAAGTAAAAATGCTCCTTTCTCCTACTCCTTCTTTCTTCCCGCCTCCCCGCCTCACACATGCTAACACCCTTCCTTGAAATACACACAAAATGTAGTAGCTTGTAAAATAATACAGAAAAACATTTGTGTAATAACTTTCTATATCATCAAGATTCAAATTTCAGCCAATATGCCTCTTTCTCAAAGGTAAGCCTTTTTCTTTAACTTTGGCCTAAAAAAAGACTGTCATGAATGAGACAGGAGGTCACACTTTAAAAGGAGGAAATGAAGGAAGAGCAAGCAGGAAACTACATATGCTGAGCACCTACTATGTGTTTTGCATTATTTTGTCATTTAATCCATAGAACCATCCTGTGACCTATGATCACAGGAGAAGAAATTGAAGTTGAGCAAAGTTAGCATGATTCAGCCTCCTCATCCAGGATTATCAGGATGTGAGTTCAGGCCTAATGACTCCAAAGTCTCTCCCCATTCAGCGGTTCTGCCCGCTGAAACTGAAAGGGTCCAGTTAGTACTCGAACAGATCACATTGTAAAGTAATCTGAACAAAGGCAGTGTTCCTGCCATAATACTGTTCTTCACTGGACAGAAAAACTACCTCATATTATCATTCAGAAGTTTCTAGAATTGCATTTTCTTTTCCAAGTTACTAGACTAGTAAGGGGGCAAAATAATAGTCATAGTTATAGGAGGAAGACAATGAGACAGCAGTTAGAAAACTTGTAAGATTACATCTGTTCTGAGATATTTCATTAAACCCTGAAAAAAGCCAAGAGGGGAAAAGCAGCAGGATTCACTTCTGACTGTCTTGATTTGGAATTTGATGGCTACCGTAACAGCCCAACATCCTAAGCACTGAAAACCAAGTCCCCTACAGAGACCAGATCGCTGAAATTACTTGCGCTTTGTTCCAGCTGCTTCTTGAACAAAACAGCACCTTGCTCACAAAAGCTCTATTATCCAAATACCCACCAAATGAAAATTACGATATATGGGATCCCCAGAGTCAAACACACTTTCTGAAACTCAATTTAAATATTCAGCAAAACTAGCATTAGCTCAGACCTGTGCTGGTTTGAATCCCTTACCTGAGGCTGTGAAATTACAGGGGAGGCAGTAGAGGCAGCAGAGGCAGCAGCGGCCATGGCGGCTCTGCAGTTGTGGGCAGTGACCGGGCCCCAGCACTACGGCGCCAGACACAGGAGTCAAACTCTCGTGGCTGCTGATTAGATCGCAGTCATGCTAGGAGAATCTGTGTACCTGGGAAAGAAGGGGGAAACCCACATTTAGCCGAAGAGGAACACCACGTGGAGTGAAGTGCCATTTGCCAGAGGAAGTAAAAATCCCTGATACTGAATGCCAACTACTAGCTCTAACGGAAAGAGGAACCCAGGAGAGAGCATCTAACGTCTCGGCGTCAAGATTTTTGTGCCACGCGTCCAAAGCAAGTTAAGTGGATGTAGTTTCATAAGTCTGAATCCAACTCTGCAGGCTCGCTAGGTGTTTCGGGAAGGGAGTTGTGAAGATGGGGACAACGGGCCAGGGTGAGAACCCATCCTGTGTTTAAACAATAAAGAAATTGAGTGACCTACAGTTGAGAGCTGAGAGTCTATATACAAAGAGGCGAAGAGAATAATACCGTCAGCCATCTTAGAGATCATCCCTGCCCGTTAGCAGATGAAAAAACTGAGAGCTGGAGAGAGGAAGGGACTAAAGTCATACATTTCATTAATGGCAGAGCTAGCACTAGAGTAATGACCATTCCCTGTCCTGCGGGAAATATGAGACCGTGAACTGTTCCATGTTTACACTTCCTCAGGGAACTTAGTTACCACTTTCAAGATTAAAGAATGGAAAGGCACCCCAAAGGTACAGGAGTAAGTCACAGAAAGGAGTCAGGTACTCGGGTGGGCGGCGGGGGCTTCCTAACGCAGACTTGTGTGAGTAAGAGTGCACTTTTTCAATCGTTGACATCCTCAAAGAAAGGATGCTTGATAAGCACAAAATATAACTAAATCTTTCATTATTAAAATGTTAAATTCCCTGCAGTAAAGCATGGCCCAAATTCTGTCAAAAGATTGTCATTGTTCTCATGTTGCAATTTAATCTAGAAGAGAATATATTTTTTCACAAATTAGGTGTAATAAACATTACTGAATCATATACAAATATGCTGCATTAATTTTTAACTCATTAAAATTGCCTTCTACTATAAAAAAGAATTTTTAAAAATTCTTCTATTTTAGGAAATTTTTTTTTACTTTGAGGTCATTTTCATACCACCTAACAATAGCCTTTTATTCAAAAGCTATTTGTTGTGCATTTATAGTAACTTGAGGGTATAATGAGTAAAACTGACCCAGCCCCTGCCTTCAGGGAGCTTCTGTCTAAAAATACACTTCCTAATTTCACCAGCATGCAAGATGATATCTGAACACTTTTAAACTATTAGGAAATGATACTTTCAATAATAGTGAAAGTAATGAACTAGGATCACAAGATCCAAGTCTTGAGCAGTAGTAACAATGAAGTTGGATGCTTAAACCAAGTCTTTTGGCCCCAGATCCAATGCACAACCCTATATTAGCTGGATGATGCTGAGCAAGTCGCATAATCTCAGAAGAACATTTTCTTAAGAAAAATCTAGGTTTGGCCGCAACTTCTATGAACTTTGGATTTTGATTTGTATCCTGTCTTTGTGTATTACCCTTTGTGTAGTTTCAATCACTTCAGGAGTGTCGAATCCACGGCTCCCAGGCTGCGTGTGGCCCAGGACGGCTATGAATGCAGCCTGACACAAAATCATACATTTACTCAAAACCTTCCTTTTTGCTCATCAGTTTTCGTTACTGTTTGTGTATTTAATGTATAGCCCAAGACAATTCTTCTTCCTGTGTGGCCCAGAGATGCCAAAAGGTTGAACACCCCTGCTTAGGTTTTAAATGTTTAGAACTGTGGCACCTTCCTATTTGCGTCTCTCTGCTAGAATAATGATTTTTATTAAGAAATAAGAAGTAAAGCAGTCCAGCTGTTTTGGTAAAACACTCAACACAGAATCCCATAGGTGCCCTGAGAAAACACTGATGTTCTCCTTAGATCGAGTTTGTGGGTCGGCGGGGACCTGTTGTGTAGCACACCGTAGATTGAAATGAACAGCCAAGGGGAATGGTGGGGACACGTGTACTGGAGTGTCCTTCCCCCTCCATGATGGCTGCTGGAGTGTGGAGCCGACTCTGAGAAAACGATAGGGCCCCATGGTCTGTTGTTTGGTACTGAACTTGTCCCTGCCATCATTTTGTTCCCGCCCCTCCCTCTTTATTTTCCTTTTTCCTTCTCGTGTATTTATAATCCATGTTACCTTGCTCCATTGTAGGTAGGGTACACAGATATATAAATAGCATGACAACCAAAACACACAATAAGCAGGCAAGTGAGATTCCACTCTTAAAGACTCACCCTGTATGCTCAGATCCAATACCGTCTCTGCCAAGCTAAGTCATTAAGAACATAACCTTAGTATATTTCCTTAGGGTGGGGCAAAAGTAGGTTTACAGTTGTTTGTATGGAAAATAATGCAATTAACAAATAATAATACAAAAAAATCTGGTTCATGTACTCACAACTGTAAACCTATTTTTGCCCTTCCCTGTATTCAGAGTACATAGAGTTACCCAAAAGGTGAATCCTGGGCCGCCAGCCAGGAGTAAGGAAAGCGATACAGAAATCGATATGTCAAATACACCACATGACATCACTGCTGGTAACAAAAGAGGGACAGGTGAGAGACTGGGGTTTAATGAAACCCTACTAGATGCTGAGCAGCAGAGCTGTCATTTCACAGTTTGAGGCAGACATTGAACTCACTTCATACATGGGGAGCCTGAGGCTTGGAAATATTGTGCAACATGCACAAATTCACAACAGCCAGGAAATGAGGAAGCTGAGACCTAAACCAGGACCCACTCCAGGGCCCCACAGACTAACCCTTCAAGGGAACAAAAATTAGAGGTGCTTGGAGTCTTTTTAAGCACAAGCTGCAGGTAGTCCTGAAGAAAGCAGGATGAAGGCACGTGTTCTGCAGAGTCACTGCTGTCCCCAAACCCTAAACTGAGACACCTGTGTTGTTCTCATCTATATAAAATTTCAATGACATGTCCCTAGTTTTGATTTATGTTACCCATCTTTGAGGTACATAAGATAACACAGATTATTAATTTCACTTCTTCAAAAAGAAAATACGGAAGAAGATTAACTGCCTTTCCCTAGAGTATTTAAGAAATATCTAGTTTTGAGGTTTTCTCTGAACTTTATAATGTAAGGAGATTATAGGAGCCCGTTATACAATGGTGTATGATTATTTAACTCTGAAAATACAAGCACTAAGCAATACTACCTCAAAGGATATAAATCAGATCTCGCCTAAAAGTGGTCTTAAAATTATGTTTATGAAACCTATTTACTTCCCAACTTATTTACAAAACTGAACACATCATGGGAGAACTGGACACGATGACAAAAAGACAATATTATAAGTGACACTGCTTTGACATACTGGTTTCCTGCTTTCCCAGAGCCCCAGACTGTCAACCACAGAGCTTCACAGAATTTTTAAAGAATTGTACCCTCTTCAAGTCTTCCAAGTACCCGGATACTTGTCCGGCCAGTCATCCCACCTGCCATCAACCTAACTCTCCATTTCCTTTGCTTGAGCTCCGAGACTGCGCTCCAGCCACAGGAAACCGCAAGGCAGTGTGGGTTGGCCCCACTACCCCAGAGACCCTTGGGTCATCCCTGCTGCCCCTCCTCTCCTTCTCTGATTGTCTCCATTTTCCATTCTAGGCATCTCTTCTGATCTCTGCCATTCTTTGCAAAGCTACAAAACTACCTCTAAGTCCCCTCACTTGCAAAGGTGAGCTTTGTCACTTACTTCATTCCCCCATTGTCATTGGATATGAATTACCTTAATATCCTTCCCAGAAATTCAAAATGGATATGTAAAATACAACTTACAAATAAGAAAGCTACATAGGCTCATTCCTCTGTACCAGATTACCAGAGAAATAAGAACAGGAAATATCTTGAATCACCCTTAGAAACCAAAGATCAATCCTGACTACTGCTTAAACTTCCAAAAACATAGGAGTGGGTATTAGTATGGAAAAACATATAATACAAGAATAAACTCTTTTGCGCACTCGTGACTATAAACCTACTTGTGCCCACACCTGTATATAGGAAAAATCAACATGGGAGGTTGATGGAAGGACTAAGGCACAAGATTGCCTTCATGTGACCCTGCAATTACATGGGCAGAAAATCAGCAAATGAGACCCTAATAGAGTCATACTTCTAGTTCAGCGGGATGAAGGCTGCAAGGAACGAAGCCAGAGAGAGCTGGAGTACACTTAAAATACACTCACTCCTTAAAAGGGGTTCCTGGCTCCAACTGAGCAAGGAATATCTGGCTGTATTTATTTTTAATTTACATGTGGCCATGTGATTGCACAAGAAAACACGTGGGAGCAAAAAAACAAAAAACAGAAAACACGACCAGCTGGCTTCTGATATGGGCAGCCATGCCAAGTGACAATAACCTTACCAAGAACCGCACCAAATACCTAAAAGAAAGTCTCTGGCCCTGAGCCGAACTTCATTTTGATTACTCTTGCAGCACATGCTAGATCCTTCCCTAGGTCTTACGGGAGGGGGAATTTCTAATTTGCAAATTAATCTCCTATAAATCTAACCTTTTTTCTTTGTCTGGACTTGAGTCAAACAGTGACTCATTTCAGTCTCTTGAAAGAACGCAGGGCCTTACCTGACAGTGAACATGCATAGACTCTAAGGATAAGCAACAGAGAAAATTCCACATCCACTAGGCAAATGAAACATACTATGGTTCAAGAGAAGGGAAGAGTCTAGAATCAGAGCAAATATTTATTTAAGAAATAGGTGTACTAAGTAAAAGGAAACTTAAAAAATATATGAGATCACCCTGGTTGGGGTGGCTCAGTGGGTTGCGCATGGCCCCACAAAGCGAAAGGTTGCTGGTTTGATTCCTGGCTGGGGCACATTCCTGGGCCGCAGGCCAGTTCCCAGTTGGGGCACGTGCAAGAGGCAACTAATCAATATTTTTCTCTCACATCGATGTTTCTCTCACTCTCTTTCTCCCTCACTTACCCTCTCTCTAAAAATAACAACAACAAAAAAATCTTAAAAAACATATACAGAATATCAGAAATGAGTCTGCATTAACCAAA